CCATCCATCCATCCATCCATCCATCCATCCATCCATCCATCCATCCATCCATCCATCCATCCATCCATCCATCCACACTTCTTTCTTTCTGCACAGAAAGGAGGAAGCAGAGTTGCTGGTGACCATATCCAGCAGTCATTGTACAAGAGGTGGGGGACACCCAGGACAGGTCGCAAGTCCACAGTACCACACAAACGAGACAAACAACCATTCACACACTCATTCACACCTAGGGAAAATTTATAGTTACCAATTAGCTTAGCATGAATGTTTTTGGTTGATAATGCTAACTAAATTGGTCAACATTATTGTTGAACATTTTCTTATAACAAAAACCAATGTGATGGAGTTGATGGGTTCACATGATCAAAGAACAAGTAGAAGTAACACTTTGAGCAAACCAGGCATTATATGGAGCCTGTGATGCTTTGAACTGCATTAAGCACAAAGATTTTTGCAGGAATGCCATACGATCTCACAGTGTTTGCAATGCATGCTAATCCATTCCTGGTATTTTACTGTACTGACACCAAGTCTCCATACTGTCGCTCAGGCCATTTTTAATATAAAAGCACACTCAAAAAACAAGGACATCTTTGAGGGATTTTGTAGAAAACACTTCACATTTTAAATAGGTATTTGTTCAGCTGTAATTTTACTGCATTACTGATTTGAGGACACCCAGGTAAACAACTTGAACTAAAAAACGCTTCCATTTACAGACACACTCAGCATCAACACCTTTCCCCCATTAACAGCCTTATATGCCATTAGAAACAACTAATTGAAATACACAATTGCAAAACAGCCAGAAAAACAGGCTACTTAAGATAATCATCACTAGTGCCAGAGCAGTGGTTCATAATTTTCTCAAGGGAAGGTCCTTTAGAAAAATTGAGTGAATAGGCTCCTAAAATTCTATAATTCAAACACCTTAGCTTTCTTCTTGACGGTTTTTACTCCTTCAAGCAACTACAAAGTAGGCCTCCTCAGTACAACATATGTATTTGATGGACAGGATAATGCATCAGTGCCTTGTTGTCGCTGATTTTCTGCCTGAATGAGTGATAGATATGTCTGTGAGCAATTTGCTGTACCTGCTTTTCCAATCTGGACAGCGAGTTTGGTCAGCTTCCCTTGCAGCACAGACTTCTCTTTCTTCGGAGCTGACACTTTCTTCCTCTCTCTCTCGTCGGCCTCTCCGCCTTCAGCACTCTTCAGAGGCTGCATTTCCATGGCAGCTGCTCCATCCTGCTTCTTCACTGTAAACACCAGAGGGGGGAAAAAAACAAAACCATTGTTATTTAATTGAGATAAGTTCAATCAAATGAGAAGAAAGAGGAACAATCAAGTATGGGACTTGCTCTGGTACATTTAGTACTCACATAAAAATTTTGCTTTAAAAAACATTAAAACACAAACATAAAATCCAGATGAGATATTAAATGAAATAGTAAAGCCCACGGAGTATTTAAAGATTTGCTGAGCAGTTAAGGGAACAAAAATGTGCAGAAGTTCTTATACGTGTACAATACAAGTAATGAGTGACACAAAAAGAAAAACAATTCAACCAAAAAAAAAATTAAATTAAGATAGACAGTGAAACATTTGAAATTTTAAAGCAAACAAGATTAAATAAAATAGAAGAAACTATAACAAAAACACATCTTATTTATTTAAACCTAATTTGCATACATTCTGATAATCCATTTCCACCTGTAACCAAATGAACATTTATAGAGATTTGTTTTAATTTTGCACTCTAAAGATACTGTGTAAAACCATTTTCCAATTAAAAGTTATTTTTCATGATATCTAAAAAGCTATAGAGCCACATGCCCAAAATCCACTCTAAACACCCAGATCTACAATTAGGAAACAAGTTTTAACATTGGCATCATCACATTGTCACTGATCTGTTTACAGAGTAAAAAATAAAGCTATATATATATCATTACTGAGTTTCATTTTTTTTTTTACAATCCCGTAAGATAATTCAATTTATATGTTTAAAGACTTAAACCCTCTCTTTAGGAAATAAAATGAAAGCATAAAAAATACTGTTGTGCATAGAAAAGACTTTAGCTGTTGAACCTTTTCACAAAACACATTATAGTATAAGTATCTTATGCATGGTCTCTATTCTTAGGTATGATAAATTGATCTGCCTTACATGCCATAAGAATAAATAGTTTTCAAGAGATCTTGTATAAAAAAGTTCAGGCAGTAAAAGCAGACCTCTATTATCTCTGTACTTCTCAGTCTCTACCCTTTCCAACAAACAAACAAACACACACACACACACACACACACACATGCTCTCACACACAAAATCTGCTTCTCTGTTAATGCAACCCATTAGCTAGAATCATTCCACTAAAGTTTTCCCATCATAGTGGCATGCATTTGATGGTCTTGCAAAACATTTTAATGTTGAACATTCATCTTACTCTACAGTTGTGCATTTTATTTTTAAACCCAGCCACCACCACCCACACACACTTGTGAAACAAGACAGAACAACTCATGGTTATCCAGCTGCTAATAAGCAGATAGACTATGCCTAATATCAAACGAATGGATAATAAAAAATAAAATAAAAAATGATCTGAAGAAAACATACTAGTAATGCTGAAAATGAAATTATAGAAACAATGGGCTTCTAGTGTGATGACAATAACTGTTAAACAAGTTAATACGTTTGAGTTACAAAACATTTTACTAATCAGTACTGTCTCTTTCTTTTGAAGACCTTGAGTTTGTTCAGCTCAATTGTGCACTTAAATTAACATTTTTAAAATATAGATAACAAAAACATAAGCTTTTGGTACTTGACAAAAACCTAAATAGAATCAGAATTTCAGTTCCCTTTAATACCACACTGGGTTATGTAAAGTGGTAAGGGGCTAAATTTATAGAACATCAAAATTAGTAAATATTTAAGGACAAGAAAATAAAAAACAATTTTGGATGTTTCTAAAGAAAAGGCAATTTGAGTGAAAAGGACACGGTATAACTGAGGGACAGGCTGCAGTTTTATCATAAAGAACAAGATGAGCCAACAACAAAACAAGAACAACAAGAAGACGTCTAACCACAGACAACACAACAGTGACAGAAGATGAGAATGTGAAGAAAAAAAAGTTAACCTGAAGAGTGTAGATAAAAGCTGGGTCAAACTATAAGTATAATTTAATTTCTTGTGAACATCTAAAACTGAGGTTATTCAGTGATTGACTTTAAAGTCATTAAAATATATAAAGTAAAAGTATTGCATAGTCCTTCAATACAGCGTTCTTTTTAAAAAAAAGCTCTAAAGGAAGCACAACAATTGTCCACAAAGTTTTAACCCAGATCAGTCAATCAATCAATAAATAAACAAATAAATGAATGGGAAAGAGGAGAAGGAACAAAAGGCAGAAGAGGAGTGAAACATGATTTGGTTACCTTTTATCTGGTTGGTCTCCAAATTGCCATCCTGCATTTTACCTATTATGAAGACATACAGGACAATAACAACAAAAATAACCAAAGCAGACAAGTCAACAGATCATCCGCACAGAGACAACACAAACAGTAAAACCCAAAAATTTACAAACAGGAGACAGGATAATGACTTTTAATAACAACATTTTCGCGACAAGTCACATAGAAAAGTTTGTGATACATAAGTGATGTCATTTAACCGTAAACTTTCTCCACTCATAAGAAACTCAAACAGCAAAAAGTAAATGTATTAATCCACTGAATGTGTTGATTTGTCTGTAATAAATAGAAAAAACTCCCAACAAAATTGCTTGCATATTTATTTTACTGCATAAACAATTATTTTTAAAAATGTAGAATAACCAGGTTCCTTTAAATTAAAAATAGTTTGATAAATACTATACTGAACGTAGCAAAATACTAAACCTAATTCAACTTTTTCCTTATTTATTTATTTTCAGTTTTGTATTTGTGGTTATCCCACACATATTGTATTACCAAACAAATTAGTCAAATAATCAAAACAGTAAATATAGGATTACAGCAAACACAGACAGTAAGAATACGTATACTATAAACACACACATACAGTATATTTAAACTAGAAACAGCATGCATGAAAAGAAGATCTAGAAACACATGCGAGATCACACTCAGAGAAAAGCAGACTGGTGATGTGAACAAACCAAAGATGGCTGAGGGAAAAATCTCCCACTTGATGAAGCTATACAAGAGCAATTGGATAATTAACAAAATCAAAGTTTGGGACAATCAATTTACAATACTGTGGACGTTTGCTCAACAGCATTAACATTAAATGTTGTTAAAAAAAATAATAATTCATTTCATGGGTTGTTTAATAGAATTTCTCAAAACCTTATTCAGAGTACCTTTAGTCTAAATGGTGTGTTTGTGGTAGGATGATCAAAACTTTGACTAAATCTGTCATTAAGACTTTAAACACAAATAACACCCCAAAAAATATTTAATGCAAAGCTAATAAGCAAAGGCAAAGCAGGGTCATTTCATCTCCACCTGCACATTAACCAGTTTCCTGAAGTGACAATAAAGATAACATGTTTCTAACTACTGGTCCTCTGTACCAGCCCAGGTCAGCACAAGGTCACCATTTCAACAAATTAAATCCCTCCCATGAGTACCAACACTTTGGAGCTGCTTTCCAATAAGACAAAAACTGGAGAGAATTCAGTGGAACAGTGAAGGTAGTTAATCATTCTGCATCTTTTCCAGCTCACACAGAACTTAAGAATTTGCACTACAGAAGACAACCAAAATAAAGGTGATGGCCTGCTATCACATATCATTCAGTGTTTGATTTGAGTCTTACAATATTATAATTACAAATAAAATACCATTAGTGGAGTTTAATGCACATTGTGTAAATTAAAAGATTTAAGAGGCTTTCAATGGTTTTTTTAAGAAGACAATGATAGGGGAGTCAGTGTGTTATTGTACTGTCAATGTTCCCAATGACAGTACCATACACAGAAAATAAAAGCATTACATGACTATTTAAAGACAAGAACAAGAAACACAAAACTATTTTCTACAGCTAAATCAAGCATGCACTCACAAAATGGATACAAAAAAATTCAAAAACAAGGACAGAACTCAGCAAAAAGTTAGGCACCCATAGTAAGAGGAAGTTGGAGAATGGAGTTAAAAGTCACAACAAAAAGTGGTCAGAGGTCGGACATTGTGTTAACCTACCATTAATTAGGCTGGCACTGCCAGGGGCATTAATGCCTGCAGCCCCATCCGTAGCAATGGTTGCAATGGGGTGGATAGGGGGATGGGAGCAGTCTAGCCAGTAACAATGAGGGTCAATCAGAAATGAACATAAACACGCGCACACCCAAACACGCCCAACCATGTGCACACACAAGACAGTGAACAGAAATAACATGGTTATAGCACATTACAAAGATTCAGCATATTATGATATTATGTAGACTCAATAAGTGTGGATTATAATGGCTAAATACTTGTAAATGTAGTCTATATTTAACTAAAACAAACTACCAAAAGTAAAACTTTTAGGAAAATAAAAAGGTATAACAATAAACAAACATAAAACAAAGTTTAAACAAAGTTAAAATAATAATAAATGTAAAACAAATTTATTTAAAAAAGCTCTACTGTCAAATATTTTTAGGCAATTTTATATATACATTATAAAATCCTGTGCAAATGGTAAACAAATAAAAATATGTTACATCATTCTACCTGCTGCCTTCTGACAGATGTGTTAGGATAATTTTGACTTTACGCTTTGGCTGTGTTAGGCTTATTTGAACCATGTTATTCATGTAATGTCTATTAGCATCACAAAAATCATAGTCATTTGTTGCATAACCAACAAATGACATCTTAAAAAAATACCTTGTGTAAAATAAACAAAATATAGGAGAAATCCAATACTTAGCCAGAGAAAAAGTGTGCTGACTAGTTAACAGAAAGAGATTAATAAACTGTACATAAGAAGGTGTCAGATTTTTAACAAAGTCCTCCAAAAATAGTTGACACTGTTTGCAAACTGTTGTCTCACAAACATGTCTTCATTATGTTTAAAACACTGATATAAGCAACAGTCCATGGTAAAAGGACTTTCATTAGAGGAGGAGAATTGCGATTTTACAAAACTAAATGTCTAACGTTTACTGTTAACCAAAATGCTGTTTTATAAATATTAAAACCTTTTATTATACATTCTAATTTAAATTTTCTTCTGAAGCAGTGACCTTCAGTAAATCAGAATTGCAATATTTCTGCAATTTTGATCTTAGATTTGTGTATGCTGAAGAGCGGTGATTTGATTTGACAAAAGAATCAATGTTAAATTACATATTTGTTTTCAGAAATAATCTTTTTATTTTAAGGACTTATTCAGTAGATAACAAAATAAACAAGAATTCAAATCTAAATATTATCCTGAAATTATTGTTCTTTGTTAAATGATTATATTAGTTAAAACTGGAAAAGTACTTGATACTGTAAAGAACAAAAAATATGCTGAAAGAGGATAACTATAGTAAAAGACAAACTAAGAAGAAGAAATACTGTTTGTTAGTTTTCCATTTTAGAATATTAGGGGATCTGTAGTCTGAGAAAGAAGCAAAATAAAAACGCTTGAATTTATAATATTTCTATACAAACTACGGTGATATTTGCTCATTCAAACAAAATAACAGATAGAAGAGTTAAACTATGCAGACTATTGACTATTTAAATGTGGGTTTACAATAATACTAAAAATAAATTTACAGTGTGCTTTTTACTGCACTGCTGGTGGAAGAGCTGTACCCCTGCAGGGCTGTCACTGTCATGCCACTGTTTTCAAACAGAGCATGAGATGAGTATTAGAGTTGGATAAAACAGGACTGGTGCTGGATGTGAGCTAGTTAGTTGATGACAGCAAAGCTTGTTTTAGTGGAAAATGGTTATGTGCAATGTATCATCTGTCAACATTTAAAAATATGTTGTTTTGTGATTATAAAACTTTTTTTTTTAAGTGAGAAAAATTGGTACTGGAGTGAAAGGGTTTAGGAAAAAGGTCAATAATCATTTTGTTTTATTTAAAAATCAGATGAGGGTTTTAGAATCTAAAAGATCAAGTACAACTCCCAGGGGTCAGAGAAAGGTGATTACCTGTGTTCTGATGTCCATCTTCAACTGCCTCTCCTTCGAGGTAAATTTGGAACAATAAGAAAGTAAGAACAATGATGCACCTGAACCCACAAACCTGTATACTGCAGCTCAATACTCTTCCGCTGATAATCAATTCATATAGATTTTTTTTTTAATAAAACACAATTACTTAAGTGTCACATTGTATGACAAATACCTACAAATAATTCATATCTTGTACATCAATCCACACTTGTATGTTTGAAACCTAATTGTTTAAGATGCCTTTGGTAAGGACATTTAAAAACAATGAAAGTTCACAATGAGCTACACAGACTTTCAGCACACAAAAGGCAATGAAATGGCAGAAGTTGGCTTTTAAAAGTACGGTGCTGACTTACAAATACAAAAACACACAAAAAAACTTAGCAATAAAAAAAAAATCTGCGGAAAGTAAACAGTTTTTTAAGGTTATCATGATCTTACCTTTCTTTTCTTTCTTTTCCTCTTCTTCAGTGCCTGCCCCCAGTAAGGTAAAGATAATCCCAGTCTGGGAATTGACACCAACAGCAGTCACCACCATTCGCCCTGACCCCTCCATCACATGTGTTCCTGAAAAGGGCATTGTGGAAAATGAAAAATATATCTATCAAGGTTGAGTCAGGTCCTCTGGACAGATTACGTTTCTAATTTTATCCAGAAGTCTTCTTCAGTCTGAGGAGCTGCAACAAACTCAGTCATGTGAGTAGCACCTTCTCATGCTGACAGACAAAATTTGTTGTTCACATGCAAATGGAGGACCGTCAGCCTAACGACCAGTCTAACATCAGTGCTCTGATGGCCCCTTGCTATTCACAGACAGCTGAGTGATACCCACAATAATAGCATTGTAAGAGGGTGACAGTTGGACAAGGAAGTCGCCATCCCTGTTCAATGATGGGCCTGATCAAGGTCTGGCCTGATGATATTGGCCAGGACCATAACATCATCAGCCCAAGACTCTGTAGTTTACAGTCACTCTTTCAGGGATGAAGATGTGCACATCGCTGATAGAGAGGAACTTTGGTTCGAACAACTACTTTTGGCTGTCACTAACAAACTGGTTGATCCACTGTACGAAGGTACGACTCATAAGACTGAGTTTGTTGCAGCTCCTAAGACTGAAGAAGTCTTTTGGATAAAAGATGAAACGTTTCAACAAAGAACCTGTCCAGAGGACCTGAATCAACCTGGTTAGATTTATCTACCCGGGTTATTGAGCATGCATCAGGAAAAAGTAGTGCTTATTCATACATACATGTATTCAATGTTCAAAATAACAGGCAGGGATCTTCATAATCTGGAACTTGTAAAGAACTCCATAACTTTAAGAATAAACTGAACAGCCTTGCCCTTTATATATAAGAAACGGCACTGGAAATTATTTTAATGTCATTAAAATGTAGTGTAAGATTTAAAAACAAAAACTGCATTAAAGATAAACTTTTAGAGTCAAGTATTTGGTGTTATACAAAAATCCATTGCTTAAGAACAAATAAAGCTTGTAGAATTTTGATTAAATTAAAAACCAAACTTAATATTTATCATCATCTGATGTTTATTCTAAACCAATAGTGAAGAAACTTGTCAAATGCAGATATGTGTCGACTGCAAAACTTTACACTTATATACAATTTGCACACACAATCATTAACCTTTTGAATAATAAGTTGACGTGGGTGAATCTGAGGCTAATTAGGGCAGGCAGCAAAAGGCACACAGCTCATTATTCCACAAGAAAAAAAAGTCAAGAAGTGAAATCAGTTTAACCCACATTTCTGGTTTCAGTGATCTTTCTCTTTTATAAGAAACCTACAACTGCATAATTCTTGTGTCTGCTGCAGAAAGCAACGTGCAAATAAAGTAAAGGGCTGAATAAAAACAATCAAGATTATATTTCAGGCTGCTGCAGCACCTTCTGAATTGCTATTTTACTAATTAATGTTTATAATTAGATTATGTTATTTTCTAAAAAAATGACAACATGACTGTTTTGCTTTGCATTTGGTTTTAGTGCCACTTTAAGAATAAAAACAATTGAAACATCTTCAGGTATAAAACAAAGTAAAAGTTTATTATGTATTACTAACTAAAAGAAACCTGTAAAAAAAATCCTTCAAAGCATACTGTAGATGTGAGTGTTTGACTACCTGCAACTTTAAAATCCCTATATCATTTTAGCTCAACTCTTTCTCTTCACAACTGATGCAGAACCTTCTGCTAAACGGGCCTTTCAGTGAATTTCTTGCTTCATCCAAACTATACTTGTGAATTAGATGTCGAGATACTTCTAGTATTTTGCAGAGAATAACACTGAACCCAAAGCAAACCGTCCACCATTTTCCAGTCAATAATCTTGGCCTCATAATTGGAGGAACAAACTTTCATCCCTCCAACTTTAAATGTGGTTGCAAACTACTCCAGTGCACACTGAAGACCATGACTTAAAGACACTATCAGAAGTGCATCATCTGCAAAAAGCAGAGATGCATCTCTGCAGTTCCCAGACAACCTCTTCTTCAGAAATATACCTGAAATGTCTGGCTTGAAACACCACAAACTAAACTGGTGACCAGGGACAGTTCTGGTGCAGTCCAGCCTGTAATGTAAATGAGTTCAACCTTGTGACAAGAATGCAAACACAGTTTTTGATTGAATTATACACTGAATGGTTTATACTGTATACTTCTTTAGCACCCTGCACCTGATCCTTTGAAAAGGTGTCACTGTAAGTTGTAAGTATTCTCTGTGCTCAAAAACCATGTGAATTGAACAACAAAAGCCATTCCACTTATCTAAAAAATATTCGTTCTGTTGATTTACTACTTAAGTGAAAATCCCATCACTCCATATGTACACAGCCTTAATAAACAGTCAAAGTCTCATTTTCAACACCTTTAGTGTTAACTTTCCCAGCAATGCTGAACAGAGTTATTTTTAATTAGATGTGGTACATTCTTTGTTCTCTTTCTAAAAAGTTGAACCATCACCCTGGTCTGCCATTCCACAGGAACTGTTCGGGTTTTCCATACAACACTGAGAAAACATGTTAACCATGGCTACACCACAATGCCCAAAGCCTTAAAATGTTAAATGATGCATCTATAATCTAATTCTTACACCCTGCCACTGGGGAGCTTTTTAACAGTCTTGGCAACCACTGCCAAAGTAACAAACTTGCCTCCTCATGAGTTTTCACACTCTGCTGTCACAGAAGTGAACACTGTGTTCAGATTGAGGAGGTCCTCAAAAGTACTCTTTCCAATGTTTAAAGATGTTCCCACTCTAGGTGAGCAGGTTTCCATCTAAATTAGCCAACGTTAAGCTTTTATGACCATTAGTTTCACTGTGATAGAAGACTGCAAATCTAATTACAGTATGAATCATGGAGCTTTAGTCTATGGTGATCTGCACTTAGGTACATTCATAAGCATTCAAACTGTTATGAACAGCCCATACCTAACACAACAACAACACACCACCTGGGTTCAGATCAAAAGGGCTGTTCCTCTGAATTGCACGCCATCTGTCATTGCCTACGCAGGCACCGAACCCTCATAGGAGAACAACAAAATCCCCAGCGTAAACTCCTTCCAGGAAACCTGAGATTCCTAGAAGACCGAGATCTGGACTGCCATTTGGTCCAAAAACACAAATCACAGTTAGAGCCTTCTCGCTTACAGCTTGAAGATGCTGAGTGGCAAAATTCTTGAGAGAAACCCAACACAGAGGCACCCAGCCAGGGGTTTGTGAGTATTCCCACCCCACACATATAGTTTAATTACTTTTTAAGATGTGACACAAGACTAGTAAGTGCTATAAATCAACATGCTTTATGTACTCATACTCAGCTTCTGTGATGAATGATAATATGTACAAACTAACATCGAAACAAATGTAAAATATACCAACAAACATAATGTACAAATCTACTGCCTGAAAAAAATACATAAAACTCAATGTGTTCATTTTTTTTCCTAAAAATATGTAAATTAAAAAATGTATTTCATCTAGACTATGTATCAGCTACTGTATGCTATAAAGGAAACAGTTTGCAACCTACCAGACAACAGCATGGGGTCCTTGTCTGCAGATTTCTTTACATGGTCAGACTCCCCGGTCAGTGATGACTCATCAATCTTTAGGTCATTTCCCTGAATCAGCACTCCATCGGCAGGAAGCAAATCACCTGTAACAATACAAAAAGCTGATTTCGTATCTGTAACACTGATATTATGATATTATTTTCACAACAAAAGACTGAGGCTAATTTTAAAGACTATGCCCACTGTGTTCATTTAGTACATGATAAAACTGAGGAGGAAGCCATTTTTTTTCTATCTATGGCTTTCTCTGCAGCAAAATAATTGTGACTACAAAAAACGTTCAATACAAAAACAACTGGACTTTATTTGTAACAGAAGACGTTTCGCTCCTCATCAGAGGAGCTTTCTCAATTCAAAGAGCAGAGAGTGAGAGATACAGGTTATAAGGCTGAGTGAGATAAGACACACAGTCCAGTTGTTTTTGTATTGAACGTTTTTTGAATTCATCATGTCCTGGATGACTGAGAATCTTCACCAGCAAATTGTGACTACAGTATAGCTTAAATAAATGTGTTTGCTTAAGGCAAAATTCACAACTTTAATTCCTTTCTGAAAATCAGGTAGCTATAATCTCTTTTCAGCATTTGAAAGACAAAAGTAACTATGCAAATTAATGGATTGTTGAGCCAATGAAAGCAGTCAGTGTTTATACAAGTGTGTTCTGATTAAGCCCAACTTGTCAAAATGTGCTTTTCAATTTGATCACTTTTTTCCACAATAAAACTCTAGAATGATAAATCAAGAAGTTTCATAGTTCTGAGCATGCACAATTCACACACTTACCATATTTCACCTGTGCAATGTCCCCTACTAATATATCAGCCACAGGCAGCTGTATGACCTGGCCCCCACGCACCACCTGGAATTTCTGCTCCTGTTCAATGCGACTTTGGAGTCCTCGGAATTGCTTCTCCTTTGACCAGTCATTAAAGGCTGTCACTAGAACTACACACACTACAGACAAGAGAATGGCAGCACCCTCAATCCAGCCAGCATCTGCTTCACCCTCATCCTCTACTCCACCTGCCGCTGCACCACATGCTGCAAAACAGAAAGGACACATGAATTACACAGTCAACTTAACCATATCCTATTTTGCACATGAACAGAAACTTTGTAAAAAAAAACAAATATTATGTTCGCACAGTTAACACAGATTATAAATTCACAAAGGTCATACACATGTGTATGGCAAAAACTTCTGTAAAGAGAAATACTATAAACCCAAGATGCAAAAATGTAACTTAAAGAATATAAACCATTCCTAACAGCACTTCCTACACCCACATGAACCTTTAATTTAATATTTTTTCCAATAAAACCTTTTGTCCTCAAGCCCGGTTGAATTGAATCTGATGTAGAAGCACCAATATCTGAGCTTTGATACCAGATATTAAAGCTATGCATATTTAAAACTGTAATAATGTATTTCATGTTGGTTGGTGAAAATGTACATGGGCATTTCTTCTGTCGATGCATAGTCCGTGCAAAATAAAAGACAACTCTAAAGTTGAATGAAATCTGGCTTAAATGGCCTGAAGAAAATTAAATTATCCTTGCCTCTAAATTCATTTGTCTTACTTGAAATAAAACCATCTATTGAAGAATGAAACGAGGCCTATTCCCAGTACTGTTGCTGCTGCTTCTTGTAAAACTAGTGGAGCTTTTGTAATCTGCCCTAAAAACACAAAAAATACTGTTTTACTTAGCAGTATTTTCCCCTTATTTTTTCTTTTCTTTATTTGATGAGTTGATTCTGTACTGTAGTTCACTGTAAATAGCACATTGAGTGTAGTCGCTATCCGCGGTGCTGAATCCAGTTCAGGTTGTCTGCAAATCAGTAGTATTTAATCCTGGTCCTTGAGGGCTACTATTCTGCATGTTTTAGTTTCCATGTTCTTCAGCATGTCCTCAAATTCTGCAGAAGTATGTTTCTTAGAACTTAAAGACAAGCTGAATAGCAAGGAAACAACTTAAATATGAAGGATAGTGGCCCTTGAGGAACGGGATTGGACACCAATTCAGTTTGTTTTAGTTCATTTCATTTTATTTATATAGTGCCAAGACACAACAGAAGTCGTCTCAGGGCATTGAACGGAAACATTCATATATACACCATACACCACTGATGTAAATGATTGCCAAGCCTGAAAACTGAAGCCATTGTTAAGGGGCTCTAAACCTGCATTTTGAACCTGCATTCTGAAATCTGAAATAGCTCTTTAAACATTGCACTGACATTAGTGATAATCTGTTCCTCTTTGGTAGTGTCACCTTCATTAGAGTTTTTAAACCCCTTTAAAAGATGATTGAACTTGTTGGTAGGGAAAATGAATCCCATTACTGTGATAACGTTAGAAGCTGTGACTAATGTCGCTGACTCAGCAACTCTTGACTATCTCTGCCTTCATTTCCTGTTTTACGGCTCACAGAGCTGATGCATAGGGAGCTTGGTAGCTCAAGGTTATTTCTCCACTCAACACTTCATTAACCTTTCTGGTACCTTTCTTATGCACAATTAATGCAGTCATATTGTGCCGAAATACACATATACTCGCACACAAAAATTGGCTCTGCGCTTATGAGTCACTTGACCTTTTAGGGCAGGTCAAAAACAAAGTGAGACCTGTCCAACCAATTTAAAAAGGTGTATGCACAACTGTGGCTGTAGTTGAGTCACTGGTAGTGTGTTACACTCACATGCTCCACTGCTTTCTCCAGGAGGATGGTAAAAGGAAAGTCCCAGTGAGATTAGGGCAGCAATCTCCAGGATGATGAGGGTAACATCTTGTAGGGCCTCCCAAACAAGCTGTATAAAGGTTTTTGGCTTTTTTGGAGGTATCAGGTTTTGACCAAATATTTCTTTTCTTTTGTCTAGATCTGTTTGGACACCTGCAAGTCCTGAAAGAACAACAAACAAAAAGGTAGAAAAAACTCATTACTGATAGCACAGTGCATGATCCCACAGGTTTTCACATGAACCATAATCACAAGTAAAACATGCAGGTTTTAGAGTTTAACATCCCAGCAACTAATAGCAGTGTGCATTTATTTTAATTTGATTGGAAGAAAATGTGATTTCCTTTTTTAGACTTGCTTATTTCAAGCAAACACAAAGCACCTCTAATGACCAGAACAGAGACAAGGTGGGTCACAGATGTGCATTTCTTATATAATTGCTTCTACTGTGACCTTATACACCTCTACATACACTGTGAAATACTATACATAAATATATCTAGATTTTTTTATGAAAAGATGTTCATGATGGCTTGAGGCTCATTTTACTTTTAGAACGCAGTCCAGTGAAACAATTTTTATACCAGGTCAAAAAAATGCACACACAGTTTTGGCAGAGATCATGGTAGCATATTGCACTTCAGATATTCTGCATTCTGGATGGTTAAGTGTAACAAAACAGTTTTGTATACAACATGTTAACCATTATGATAATTATGTCTATCATCTTTAGTAAACAGTTCTAAAGTGACTGTACAATAAGTATGTAAAATACATAAAACTCACACTAAAGGTCCATTTCAACAAGTGTTACATACTGTATGTGACTTGTGCGGGCTAAATTAGCCCCAACGAGGAATTTTTCAGTATTGAATAATAATAATTATAATTATTGTAAATTTCTGCATCTCAAAAGCTTCTAAATGATATGTAGTTTGTTGAAATATGGCAGTTTATCACCTAGCCTGGCAATAAGCTAGTTTTGTTTATGAGAATTCCGGTTTGGAAACAACTTTATATATATATATATATAGACACACACACACACACACACACATACATATATATTTAAAGTTAGATTAGGAAGTTTATTTGTTCTTTAGTTAGTGGGATTGCTAGCTTATGTTTTAGAGGACTAATTTTTAGACAACTATCAGTTACAGTAATAGTCAATATTTAAAAAAAATTTTGCTCTGAATCCTGGGTTCATTCTGACTCAAGGTTACATATTTTAAATTAATTTTAGGTTTCAATTATTTATCATCTTTTTATTCCTTTTTGTCAACATAATGAGAGACAAAGCAAACAGGAGTTGGATATTAATATTGATATTTTAAGTAAGCGCCAAATTATGCTGGCTGATTGAAATAGTGTAAAAACAGAACTTGTTTTTTTTTGTTTGAACAAAAAAAAAAAAATCATATTTTTTACATTAGATAACAAACAGTGTCTGTCAGCCAAGACAATACCAGCTGGAGTAATAAATAAACAACCACTAGTGTTTTCATGCAGCTTACCAAGCTGAACTCTGTTTAAATATTTTGACCAAAGAGATATATATTTTTTTTTCATTTAGCCTTTATTTATCCAGGTTAGTCTCATTGAGCCACGAGAACTCATTTTCAAGAGAGACCTGTTTAGGGAGCACATGGTGGGGGTTAAGGGTCTTGCTCATGGGCCCAGAGTGGGGCGAATGAGGGTGGGGGCAAGTGTGAGTGTTTCACCTACCCCACCCACAATTTTTTGATGTTGTCGGGGCCGGGGCATGAACCGGCGATCTTCGGATATAATGATGCTGAGTACTGTATTTGTCGGACTATAAGGCACACCTAAAATCCTTTAATTTTCTCAAAAATTGACAGTGAGCCTTATAATCCAGTGTGCCTTATGTATTAATTCTGGTTGTGCTTACTGACCTCAAACCAATTTTATGTGATAAAACTGAACAATGTTGAGAGTTATTGTGAATGTGTTGAATAAAGTTTGACTTATCTGACAGTTTTGTTATGCTTAATGCGGCTTATAATCCAGTGCACCTAATGTATATGAAAACAGACCCGTTCATTGATATTGCGCCTTATAACCCGGTGCACCTTATAGTCCGAAAAATATGGTATCAATCTCATATTTTGCTAATTTGCATTTAATCACAAATTTGGTTACAGGCCCTAATAACTGTATCTGTATAAAAATCAAAATGGGGGCTGCAGAAGCATGGTGGTCAGTGCAGCGGTCTTGTAATCCTGGAGTTGTGAGTTTAAACCCAGGTCCTGCCAGGAAGGGCAACCCACAAACAATTGCTAAATCTTTCATGACAGTTGGCTCGCTGTGCTGATCCTTGCAAAAAGAAGCAGCCGAAAGAAAAGCGCCAACAATAAATATGATTAAATAAATCATTCAGCTAATTCTCCAACTTTTGATATTTATCTTAGTATTGCATGTATTAATTTGTTATGTTAAAAACAAATATATAAAGTAATATATAAACTTATGTTTGCATTTTCTTCTGAATAAATTAACTAAAAATAGCTAAAATGAAAATTACAGAGTGACATCAGTCTGTGGAGTATTATTTGAATTGATCATTACAGGTGATCAGGTCATATCTTCATTGAAAGGACTCCCCTGTGGTTTATTGTAGACTAGCATCTTGTCTGAAACAGTAGTAGCACTAAAATTTTTATTAGTGTAAATGGATGGATGGATGATTTTACTAAAAAAAAGTCAGTTTCATTACAGTTCTACAAGGAATATGCATCAGAGATGTGTCAGAAACTGTGGTGGGCTGTAAACTATAATTGCATCAAACCTTCGCAAGTCTACACTGGTCACATGAAATCCTGTTGCATGAATGCAAATCTCTGCTCTCGACTTGCATATAACTTTTTCAATATTGCTTTTCAGTGCTGAATCATTAACTGGTTGCTGGGTGCACACAGAGCTGCAGCGTATATCCACAGTTGCTCTCTCTGTCTCCCTCACAACGACACACATTATCGCTGCATTATGTCATGCGATGTGCGTCACTGGGTCTCCCAGGATTGGCCCTGGATTGCATCTGATAACACTGCTGCTGCCAGTGCTTCACATGTGAATTCTCATGCATGTGACAGGTGAGAGGATTTGTTAACATGCAGAAAATAATTGGTGGTTCATAAAACCAAAAATAAAAGATAAATATAAAAAAGGACATCAAAAACAGAAAATGGCAACAGACAGCACACTGAAAAAAAGATCCCCCGCTCCTACTTTAAACTGATTACATATAGATCAGTCTATAAATAGCCTCATTACCATTCTCTTTTAATTGTCTCTGTGAAAATACCTCATGTGGTCTCCCATTGATCTCCACTGCAATCTGCCTTACATCACAAAAAAACATGACTGAGTTTGAGCACGTGAATGCACTCGCTTGAGTCGTGACCACCTACTTGTGCTTTGTGTTTGTGTGTGTGCACAGTACGGATGGGCAAGCATGCCTGTGGTTGCAATGCTTACACAATCACATGAAAATGTTTGCTGCAGTTGGTTATATAGACACAGTGTACATACACACAAGCACATAAATACTGTTTGTGATTCCGCAGATGCACTGTGTGCAGATATTAGCATGCAGCTTTCGTTAAGCCTGCATTTTCTTTTAGCTGTGTCTGATGCCACATGAAATACAGCTTTCAGTTTTGCACTCCCCCTATCCAGTTACAGGCCTAAAATTTTGATTTGTAGTGAGAAAAAAAAAATAATCCATCCATCTTCTATCGCTTATCTGCATTTGGGTTGAGGAGACAACAGGTCCAGGAAAGAAACCCTAACATCCCTCTCCCCAGCGACACTTTTCAGCTCGTTCTGGGGGACCACGAAGCGTTCCCAGGTCAGAGAAGATACACCATCTCTCCAGCCACTCCTGGGTCTTCCCTGAAGCCTTCTACTAGTGGGATGTGCCCAGAAAACCTCTAAAAGGAGGAGTCCAGGAGGCATACTAATAAGATGCCCGAACCACCCCAACTGACTCCTTTTGATGTGGAGGAGCAGCGGCTCTACTCCGAGGAGCTTCGGCATCCAGAGGACAAAACAAAAACAAATGAAAATCATCATAATTGTCCATTTTACTGAATTTGTCTGGAGGCAGAGGAATCTATTGTGTACTATAGTGGTCAAATATTCTTTTTTTTTTTTTTTAAATAGCAATCACTTTAAATACAAATCCAACATATTGCAATACATTCTGTGTTGCCCTTGGGAAGGGAACTATGCTGCAATCAGCATCTAATCATTAAATACTGAGTGCTTCCTAGAAAATGTCACTGCAAACTATTTTATCCTCAACTGCTGATTGCAGTGCTGCTCAGTTATATAAATACATTATTACACACTAAACCTGACTGCTCTGACTGTGATTTAAAATGTAACAGTTAGTAACAGAAGACCTACCATGTTTTAGTATACTAAATATACATTAAAATATACATGTACAAAATTCTACCTCTCTTTTCAATGTTCAACCTGGAGGAAAACATTTATGTGTTTTAATATATCTTTATTGAAGTTAAGGTCCCAATGGATTTCCTGTTGATGCTCATGGGGTTGTATTCTTTAAACTGTTGGTTCAGGTTTAAAGTGATGCATTTAGCTGATGCACACAAGTAACAAAGTCACAAAACTTAGGGCTTCAGAGGGACCTGGAAGACCCTTATAAACTTGTGGAAAACATGGAATTTACGTGACCAGAAACTAGACACAAGCTTTAACCCTCAGCTGTCTCTTATTTCCTGTAAAATTTGCTTTGATTTGAATATTCTGTTTTCAAACAGAAATGTCAAAATAAAGTTGTGCTTTCATGTTTGCATGAAGAAAAATGGGATCCTTTTGCCATCAGCAGTAATATGACGGCATATTTTAACAGTTGCCCTTTTTTTTGCCAATAGCTAAAAATAGATCTCCATGGAAACACTATGCATCCCACTCACTGAACAGAAATAACCATGACTCTGAACCTTAGAGAATGTGTGAATATGCAAGTAAGTGCTTGTTTTGCATGATTTTGGTGCAATAGTTGTATATATTTGCGTGTGAAGCATACCTCTACCAAATAAATAAGAGATAACAAATTTGTACATTGTAAGGATGCAATGACCTCTACATGTCCTTGTACAAGAGTTGTT